ACCCGAAAGTTGTGGCTGGGTGTTTTATATAAATTTAAGGACTATTTAACAATTACAGAAAGTATTTTTGTTGAAATGCATTAGAAAATTGGCACATAGGATTTTATCCTATGTGGCACCTTTAGAATTCGTTTTTGTTTTCTCTCTCTGGTTTCTCTCTTAGTATAATATACTATAGATACTGACCTCTCTCTCTGTTGGGTTGTAATTTTAGATGGATGTTTGTCATTTGTTTGTCAAAAAAGGAGTGTGATGGGTTTCGATTGACATGGTAAGTTATACTTTTAATATTAACAACTCAATGTTTAGAGTGATTGTTAGAATTTCGCTTGAATTCTTAATTTTGCCTGTATTGACTGAAGGTTCATTAACTTATTCCAGTGTAGATGCATGTGGACGACTTTCCATCTGATTTTTGATTAACAATGAGAAGCGTGGTCGTTAATTATAAAAGGTTCATCAATGAAAAAAAATCTATATGATTTTTTTTCATTTGTTTTGAACTGTTAACTCATCATTTTTTTTCTTGCATTTTAAGTCTCGACATTATAAGGAAAAATTTGGTACTACTGACATACTTTTCTTTTCGATAGGGGAGGAATTATTTTTTAAACATGCATTACATTTTCCATGTTAAGGATCATTCTATTGTATGCTTTACATTTAAAAATGACGAGGGCTTCATTTTGGTATGCTTTTGTACCGTTGCTATTATTAAATTTCAATGGGTTGAGCTTAAAAATAGTTATGCATCAATCTTGCTCTAAAGGAGCCGGATAGACTAAAACAAAATTGCTCATGCTCTATAATCTCAAGGTAAATATATACTTTATTTGAGATATCAATAATTAAACATATTTACTTTAAGTACATTATCTATGTGTTTTGGTTTTACAAGAGAAGTGTGGCACGATAATGGCAAAAGATTGAAATAAGTACCTCGAAAAGTACTCATAACTAAGGAAAAAGTTTGGCGAGCATGAATATGTATTTCGAAATGATTTATTAGTTTTTTTAAAAGGTTTTTTCCCCCTATTTTTGTGTTTTATTTACTTTTGTTGGAATTTTCTTTTTTCATTTTGCTTTATGCCTAAAAAAGATTATTTATAATATTTGATTGAATTACTAAAAGTAAACAATATATGCATTTCAGTCAATATATTTTTAGGATATACACGATTTAATTAAAATTGTTGAAAATAACTTTTATATATTTATATCCCTAAACAAGTAGCATAGTAGGCAGTTGATCATATTAATTCATATTTAATTTTTTTTGATATACTAACATTCCTAAACAAGAAGCATATTAGATAGTTGGAACATATTAATTTGTACTTTAAAAAACCAATACAAGTACTTGATTAAAATGATAAAAGTATTGGACGAAGTTAACTACGATCTATGATTAAATCTGCGCATGGGCATGTAGTAATGATTGTTGGGAGAGATTTGTCTTCCGAAAAGGACCTCCCCGATTTGAAGACGGATTAGTTAGAACAATAACTTCGAACATCGGATGCGCTATATACCAAAAACGGAAGGGAAAAAAAACATATGACACTTTTGATTTCGGACTCCGAGTGCTTACTATACCAAAAACGGAAAAAATAAAACATATGACATTTTTTATAGGAAAATAATAATATATGATGTTACTCTAAAATATATTAAAATCCACACAACGTGTGGGCATAATACTAGTTAAACCCTAATAAATTTTATACTGTATGAATTAATTAAGTACGTCTGAATGGTCAGTTCAATTGTGAGACAGAAAATAAGTGACAAAAATAAGTGACAATCCTACTATTTAACACTCATCACTAAACACTGAATTTCTGTAGTGATTTTTCCCCCCTCATCTTTGTTTTGACTCTTATTTTTACATTCTTTTAAAAATTTTATTTTCTTAAGATAAATTAATTAGGAGAGCTTAAATTTGAATTTATATTATGTGTCTAAACAACTTCAAACTTGCAAACTCAACTCAAACTAATTTTAGCGGGCGCCTGGTTGGGGGGTGTGATATACTTGGAATGGGTGTGAAAGTAAATGGTGTTGCTTGGTTGGCTGGGATTCAATCCAACACAGTAATTTCACCGGGATTCATTCCAAAAAATCCATTCCCAATTAAATTGACAGGTTTGAGAGAATTTTGGCATAAATTACTCCTTTTCTTCTTTTACCCTTTGTCTTCTCTCACATTTTTCTAATTTTCTTCTCTCATCCACGGTCCACCACCCCCTGCCGTCAACCACCCACAGCCACCGACCTCCTCCTCCTCTTCTTCTTTTCCTTCACATTCCTAAATCCTACTGCTCTTCTTTATCTTTCCAAAATTGCATTGTTTACTACTAGATCTGTTTTTTTCTTTTCTGTTCTTAGGTGTTTTTTGGATGGCAAATCCATCTTCATTAACTTTCAGAGCTTTATTTTGGATTTGATTAACCACCTTTAACTCAAATTTCAATGAAAAATCGTTTTTTTCACCTTAAACCATCAATTCATCTGACCCTTTAATAGCCCTATCAAATCCTAATTAGGCCAATCCTTTAATGCCCCATTCTTTTAATTCCCCTATAAGTTGAATTAAAATACTCTCACAAATTTTGTAAAACAAGGATTTAAGAATTTCTTGGTAAGAACCATCATCGAAGGTGGTGGATCTGATCGCCTCGAAAAGCCTTGAGCTGATGGCAGTTTTCTATGAATGACTACAAAATATATTGGTGATTTTTTTGGTCGAACAGCAGCACTATGTAGGGGAAGGCTTTTTTTGGTTGTAATGGTAGGAAAAAAATTTATTTGAGGAAGGATAAAAATGAAATTTTACTTCCACAGCCATACCTGTATTTGCTTGAACCAAGCAGTTGAATTTGAGTTATGACATTCTTTCCTATCATTCCAGGTAATGAATCTCGGATGCAAATCCATAGAACCCTTTGAACCAGGCACCTCCTTAATATATAAATTTGTTATATAAGAAAATATATATATGTGATGGCCCATAAGCTTGCACGTCAAGCAAGTAGGTGGAACAAAATCCCACATCGGTGGATGATGGGTGGGAGGATAAGCATATAAACCAGCTACCTGGCCTATTAAATAACTTGGGTTAACCATTTTGGGTACAGCGAGGACGAATACCTAAATAATTACTGGGACAGACATAGCAGCTGGGGCATTACAATTGGTATCAGAGCTGACCTAGTACTGGAAGCTAAGTGCTACGTGTGGGCACACCTCCGAGCTCACTAATAGGACAAGTGCACCGACACCTTTGAACCTACAATTGAGACAAGTGTGTTACGTACGGGAGACACCTCTAGAATTCCGTCCTAGGGGAGCCTGGGCCCAAATGAGCGTTCTTGTAGGCCTTGCGAGGACGCAAGGATCCAAAGGGGGGGGGTCGAGTGTGATGCCCCAGAAGCTTGCACGTCAAGCTAGTAGGTGGAACAAAATCCCCACATCGGTGGATGATGGGTGGGAGGATCAGTATATAAACCAGCTATCTGGTGGTTAATCATTTTGGGTACAACGAGGACGAATATCTAAATAATTACTGGGACAGACCTAACAGCTGGGTCTTTACAATATATACATATGTTGAAACATACACATAATCTAAATTTTGTTTTCTGGATTATAAACACAGTATCTACTTAAATTTAGTTAATTTTATATTTAAAATTTATTTATTTATAACTAAAAATTAAATAATATTCATACGTGAATATTCAGATTCAGTCTTCACACTTCAAATATCAAATTCAGATATTTTTATCAAACAATTTCAATTCAATCTTTGGACTTCAAACTTTTTTTTTGTGTGTGTGGAAAAGGTATATATATATATATATATATCCACATCTGTTTGTATCCTATTCACTACTGCAAAATTTCTGAGGCTACACCCTCAATCAAAAAATAGAAAGTAAAATTGACTATACATATTGCTTAATACAACTCATAAACAGAAAGTAAAACTGACTATACATATTACTTATATACAACTCATAAACAGAAAGTAAAACTGACTATACATATTGCTTCTATACAACTCATCCATAAGGAGAAAACTCAGAAATTGAGAAAACAACTGGAACATGATTTTTCTTTCACAGCTGGTTTAGATGACATGCTTGAATGTCTATGGTACTCACATATTTTTTGAAAATTATATCTTGTAGTGGCATCAAACTCGAATGAAAAAATGAAATAAATAGAACATTACGCTTAAATAAAATGAGAAATGAAATAGATAGAAGTCTTAGAGAGAATGGATATTAAGGTGTCGCGTTCTCATGCATCCATTTCTTGTTCAATGAATAAACTACACCATTTTGTAAAAAAAAAAAAGTAATAATAAAAAGATATTGCAAACTCACACACTACAGTTCCAACTAAACTCCGTTTTTCCTTATCTTATATTGAGCTGCGTTTTCCCACTATGTTGGTTGAAATCTTAATATGATTATTATGGATGAAAAAAATTCTGATAAGTGCAAAATTATTATAATTAATACCGCAATTTTCATTAAAAAAAATTATGATGCCATATGAAAATCATAATATTGACAATTACATAAATTTAAAGTGAACAACAATCGTTTCTCTATACCTTACTTTACGATATTTACAAATTCATTCCAAATTAAAGTATACTGCTTGAATCTTTCTTTCTATGTATCCAATACCATAAAAAATGAACATAAAAAAAGAACTTTAGAGCAGGGCGACTGGAGGGAGTATTATACTAAAAAGTAATGCTCAGTGCCTACACTGGGATTTTGATCCTAGTGGTGAATATACATTATAAATTCCGATCAGGCTACCACCAGGCCCGCAATTTGCTTTCTTGTAAGTCCTCCAAACCGTCCTCTTCTAGTTCTGCTATACGAATTCCTTCATCGGTCTGGAAGCAACTATAGAATGCAACTGTGCCGGACATAATTAAATTCTTCGTTTGACGAGCTTTGCCTAACGCTTGTACCACAATGCAAGCCTTATGTCGTCGACGTCTTGTCCCGGCTCCTCTTTGTGTCCGCTGCAGTTTAAAAGAAGAATCGGTTGGTCATATGCTCTCAGATTGTGACCGCTCCCGTCTCATTTGGCGTTTATCTGCCTTGGGCTTTGATTTCTCCACTGGGCAGGCATGGTCATTTGCAGATTGGTTCATTGATTGGATGAAAAACGTCCCGACCGACGATCTTCGTTGTCAATCTTTGTTCCTTCTATGGAAAATTTGGAAAGATCGTACTCCTCAGTTGTTTGATGATGCGACACTCCCTCTGCCCCATGAGGTGTTTCATCAAGCCCTCTTGCACTTTCAACTGAGCAATCCCCTGCCTACATCGACTCCCTTTGATCTGGTAGGAGGAATTATCCAAGATTAGGTTGTTACTTTTGCTTTGCTTCCCTGTTTGCAAATTGATGGTGCCTTTTCCTCCCCCCTGCAAGTAGCAGAACGTGGTTGGGTCCTCTCCTCTCCTGGAGGAAATGTTCTTCACTAGGGCTGCTAATTAATTGGGTCTATCCGAATACCCGACCAGCCCGAAGCTTATTCGGGTGATTCGGTTCGGGTAATCGGCCAATTTCGGGAATTTTCAGTCACACCCGACTACTCGAGACACAATATCGGTTCGGTTTCAGTTAATTAGGGTATTATTCGGGAACCGTCCGGATACCCGAATAATTATATAATTTAATTAATTTTTTATTATTTTATTATTTTTTGTATGTCATATATATATGCTGATTTAGGGTTTCCTCATTTTTTCCCCCTCTTTCGTTTTTCCCCTAGAATTCTCTCACCTTGTTTCTTCTGCTGGCCGCCGCTTCTTCTTCTCCAAACGCCGTCGTCGTTCTGACCACAAATCCACCACCACAATCACACACATCACTTCACCACCTCCCATTTCCTTCCAGAGTTCCAATTATCCACCACCAACACCAATCGGTCCAAATCTAGGATTTTGGATTCAAATCGATTTTTGGAATCCATTTGATTCGATCTGGAAACTGACGGTTCAAAGCTCAGTTCCCAAATCCATTCGATTCAGAGCTTGATGGAGGTTGTCGCCTTGTCGGAGGTTGCAGGACCATGATTTTTCCTAGGTAAGCCGTAAGCTCACTACTTTGTTTTGTTTCTTTGTTTCTTTACGAAATCATTACTGATAGCAATATAGCATTACTTACTGATTTTTTTTTTTTTTGTCTTTTGATATGCAGGACTAGGATTCATATTCAAGTCGTGTTTTGTGGGAATCTCCATTTCTTCGTCTCAACTGGAGCTATTTGGGGCAAATTATCCTTCTTTATTATTGGGTTTTGTACTGATTCTTGCTGAGCAGTTTTAGATTTGATTGAAATGTAAGTCGTTACTGTCTTGCTGAGCATTTGTGTTTGATCATGCTTCGTTTGGTGGATCTGGAAGTCTGGTTTAGTTGCTTTTATCACAAATTAGTACTTGGATCTGTAAGTCGTTGTGTTTGATCTTTTCAAGTTTAGTTCTTTCCGTTTTATGGTTGGTGGATCTTATTGAAGAGTTCTTAGCTCCATGCTTCTAGATAAAAGTTCAATCTTGATTGAGGTATTGTATGTTATAGTTTGTCTTTCTGAAATGTTAGATGCTATATAAAATCATGTCTTACATTGATTCAACTCAGTGGCTCGGCTGCTTATATTGTATGCTCTAGATCATGATACTTTGGCCTTTTTTTTTTTAACTCTGAAATGATGAATAAGAAGAAACCAATGAAGATAGTGAACTGCATTATGTGTCATTGTAATCATACTATTTTATATGAGAATGCAGGACTGAGAGTTAACTGTTTTTGTACTCTTTAAATGCAGGACTGAGAGTTGAAGTTTGAGTATTACCATCTTTAAGGTGAGATATTTTTCAAATGTTTTTATATCTTCGTTGAATTTACTAATTGTGAGTCTTGAATGCACCACCTGTTTTATTGGTCTGATTGTCTGAAGTCAGTTTTGTTGCATCAAATGATTTGGAATGAAGTGATCAGTTAGGTACTTAGGTTAGCAAAGATGTGGTCTCTTGTAGTTGTAGTTGTGATATTAATATGTGAACCACTGTACTAGTAACATAATTTGCAGCTTATGAGAGTTGTTTTTATCTTGTCACATGTTTCATTGTTTTCTGTCAACTACTCAACTGTGATTAAATGATTTTAGCTTCAACTTGTGATTGTATAAATTTGTTGCTTATTGCTGCTGTGAACTGTAACTAAAATGTTTTTATTTTTTGTTTAGATGTCTGATTTTGATGAAGATGAGCTTGAGGAGATTGAAGTGGAGGATAGTTCACTGCCTGCTATGTTGGATTTGCCTACTGATGATTCATTGATGGTAGAAGTCCAGATTAACACGAAGGACCAAACGAAAAGCCGGAAGGTCAAGGCCGTCGAGCGAAAGTCCAAAAATCTCCTAAGCGGCGCAGGGTAACTCGTAATAGGTCAGTGGTATGGTCTCATTTCTCGAAATCTACGTTGCCTAATGGTGAAATATGGACTACTTGTAGTTATTGTAAGAATTCTTATATGGCTGATCCTAAGAAACATAGCACAAGTAGTCTTCATAGCCATTTGAGTACTTGTAACACGTACTTAGCTCAGAAGCATGATCCTCATCAGTCTAAGCTGGTTGTTGAGTTTGGGGAGGCAAAACAGGGGAATATAAGTACTTGGAAGTATGATGAAGCAGAAATCATTAGGGCAATGATTAGTATGATAATAGTTGATGAATTGCCTTTTAGGTTTGTTGATAAACCTGGGTTTAGGTATTTTGTTAGGAAGTTGCAGCCATTATTTACTCCTAAGGGTAGACAGACTGTAGCTAATGACTGCTATAAGCTGTATTTATCTGAAAAAGCAAAATTAAAACTTGAGCTTAAGGGTCTGGGTAGTAGAATCTGCTTGACAACAGATACTTGGACTTCTGTGCAGCAGATTAATTATATGTGTCTGACTGGGCATTATGTGGATAATAAATGAGTGTTGAGAAAAAAAATTTTAAGTTTTGTTCCCATTACAAGTCATAGGGGGGGTTGATATCGGGATTGAAATTGAAAAATGTTTGATGGAGTGGGGGGTTGAAAATAAAAATGTCTTTTCTATAACTGTTGATAATGCTAGTTCTAATGATGCTGCTTTGGAGTATCTTAAAGAGCAGTTTGCTGTTGGAGAGAAGTGTGTTTTGGGTGCAAAATGGTTGCATAATCATTGTGTGGCTCATGTGATTAATCTAGTTGTTAAGGATGGTTTGGCATATATAGGTAAGTTTGTTGAAAGGATTAGGGCTGCTGTTAAGTATATTCGGCAGTCTCCTAAAAGAATAGCAAGCTTTAAAAAATGTGTTGAAATTGAAAAATGTGGTAGTTCCAAGAATCTAGTATTAGATGTTTGTACTAGATGGAATTCCACATCTATTATGTTGGAAATTGCTCAAAAGTATGAAAGAGCCTTTAGAAGATTCGAAATTGGTAATCAGCACTATAAAGATGCTTTAAAATATGATCCTGATGTGCCAAATTCGGGTCCTGGACTGCCTACTGCAGTGGATTGGGTAGAAGCTAGGAGGGTAGCTGGGATTCTTCATCATTTTTACGAGATAATCTTGAAGGTATCTCATACCAAATCTGTCTCCTCACATTCTTTTTTCGTTGATATTACTTGTATTGTTGTATTGCTGAGGAAAATCATCAATGAAAGTGATGATCAGGATAAAAAAATAATGGCTGATATGATGAAGGCAAAGTTTGATAAATACTGTGGGCAAGTTAAGAATACGAATCTGGTTCTTTTAATGGTATGTGTTTTTTGATCCTAGAAATAAGTTGAGGTATTTGGATGCTGTACTTGTCGATGTTTATGGACAAGTGGATGGGAAGGGTAGATATGAAACTATTAAAAGCGCCATATATGAGTTGTTTGCGGATTATGTGAGAATCTATCCCCCTAAACCTAGTGTTAGTACGCCTTCCTTCCAGCCTGATTCTAGTACTTCATCCTCGAAAAGGCCTTCCCCTGTTGATATCGAGCCTTCGCAAATGCTTAGAGATAGATTTAGGGTGTTGGCGCAGCAGAAAAATGAAGAAGCTGGTGGCGAATCCCAGTCTGATAAAAGATCAGAATTGGACAAGTATTTTAGGAAGGATGATGAACCAGGTGGTCCAACTTTCGATCTGCTGAAGTGGTGGTGTGTTAACAGCCCTAGGTTTCCCATTCTTTCACTGATAGTTCGGGATATTTTTGCCATTCCTGTCTCAACTGTGGCTTTCGAATCTTGCTTTAGTACGAGTGGGAGGGTATTGGATCCATTCCGGAGTTCTTTGACTCCAAAGACTGTTCAGTGCTTAATTTGCACCCAAGATTGGCTTCGGGGAGAAGTTGAAGAAGAAAGTGTCGAAAAAAGCTGGGAAGAACTCCTACAGATTGAAGAAGGTTACACTGTTACAGTTTGTGTTTTCATTTGATTTTTTAACTATTTGTTTTCATTTGATTGAATATTGATTGTTTGTGTTTGTTTCCTCTTTTCAGCTGCTGAGAAGGAAATGAATGCTGGTGAATCAGAGACTGTGGATTTGTCGTGTTCAAACTGTTGACACGCTTCAATGATAGGTAAAATTTAGATGGTTGTTACCTGTTGCATGAGTTTAGGTATTTCTAAATTTCCCGTTGCTGAATGTTGATTCCTGTTGCTGAATGTTGCTACGTAAAATTCCAGATTGCTGAATGTTGATTGCCTAACGCTTGATGCAAGCCTGCAAGCCTACAATGCTGCCAATTGAAGCGTTGAAACGTTAAAGACTGAACAATTCTTTTCATGTAACTAGTTAATGACTTAATGTAGTCTGTTGAAGTGTTGAATGTTGATCATTTCAGGTATTTACATGTTATGTTGATGATTCTGTAAAACCATGAACAAAAGGTTGTATTGCTGTTGATGATTCTGTAAAAACCATGTACTGCAGCTACTGCTTCTTCCTGCTGTATTCTGTAAAAAAACAGTGTTGACTTTGAAACTTTGAGTCGAAACTCGAAATTTCGAAATGAACTTTGAAATGAGATGACCATTGGCATTAGGGTCAATTAGTCGATTTTGTTGTTACATTGATTTGTATTTTGTTATTGTATCTCTGACTGAAAATCTTGTAAGAACAAAATATAGCCTATTTGGCCTATTTTGGGTTAACCGATCCCCTAATCAAAAAATCGATTGCTTATTCGGCTCGGTTCAGTTCAGGGATTATTAAACTTCGGTTCGGTTTTGGTTGGGTTCGGAAGTGAAAAAACCTGATTAATCCGAACCTATTAAAGGCCGAACCGACCGAATTAGCAGCCCTATTCTTCACTCGGGCAACTGCAATTTCCATACGAGTTCTCTTTTGCAGGCCGAAGCATATGCATGTCTTGTTGCATTATCTATGGTAGATTCGACAGCTTATCCAGCCACATATGTCCACACAGACTGTTTGGTCTTGGTTCAGGTCCTGTGTCATCAAATAGCTCCTTCAGTAGAGTTATTCTTTCTGATGGATGATATTCAGCAGTACTTAAGCTCTTTTTCTCTTTTCCATATTGTAAAAGTTTCTTGTGACCAAGTGCATGGGGCGCATGTCTTTGTAGGACAAGCTTGCCACATGTCTTTTTGTATCATTTTGTGGTTGACTTTATGCAATATATATGAGCACGCTGGTGCTGGTTATCAAAAAAAAAAAAAAGCTCAATGCTTCAAATAAACAATTCATATTGAGTTTTAAATTTTATACTAAAAAATAATAAAAATTTATAAACTCATCAATATGAATTATTTTTACCAAAGATGGAGTAATATTTATACTTTGGCCCTTACATTCATTAAAATGTCTTCTATGTACCCTAACATTTTAACAGTATACTATTAAATTTTCATTTGATTGCATGCGTATAAATTTTATTAATATTAACCAGAAAGTAAAAAAAATCATTTGAAATAAACATAGTTTTATCATATTAATGCATTATCTCCCGAACTGAGAATTTAGTTTGATTTATTGTCAGATATGGATCAAAAAGAAAAATAAAAAGATAATTGCCGGGGGCCAGAATGTGAAGAACGGCGTTGGAGATGGCAGATTTTGGAGGATTGAAGATCAAGAAGGAGAAGAAAGAGAGGAAATAGTCTAGAAGGTTAGGAAAAAGAAAAAAATTGCTGAAGAAGAAATCTGATTATTCATTTATGATCTCTATACAAAATGATTGTCGTATTTACTATGCTTATGACGGCTGTATTAACAAAGGTAGAACTAACAATTACTGCTCAATGATTATAACGAATCCTTCCGTAAAAACGTGCCTTTTAATCGCCTTCAAACTATTTATTTCACAAAATTCCAATTTAATCCCTGAATGTGACAATTTCTTCCTCTAAAAAACAACCTTGTCCTCAAGGTTTAAATTTAGGAAATTGTCTGCAAATGAAAGCTTGGTTTTCCAATGAGGAGTCTTCCATGCTGAAGTCCTTCCATTTAATCAGCCATTGAACCGCAGAAGTTCTGTTCCTTATGATGAATCTGCGCTGAAGAATCTTCTCAGGTTGAAGAGCACCACCTTCAATCCTTTCAGGCTCAGGTGGAGGTGTTACAGAAGCAGGCTGATGGCCATGATGTCTTTTCGACTGTGACACATGAAACACAGGATGAATATGAACATGAAATGGCATCCTTAGTCTATAAGCAACTTCTCCTACCTTCTCCATCACCTGATAAGGGTCATAGAATCTTGACATGAGTTTGAGGTATGACCTGATTACTACTGTGGATTGCTTGTAAGGCTGAAGCTTCAAATACACCCAATCATTGATAGAAAATTCCCCTGCAGTTCGATGTTGATCTGCAAAATACTTCATTCTTTGTTGTGCTTTTAACATGTTTTCTTTCAACAATTCGAGAATGGAAGCCGTTGCTTGCATTTCCTGATTAATAGCTGGAATAACACTATCTGTAAATGGTCCAAATGGAAATATGAGTGACTTCTCACTATATAGAGCTTCAAAAGGAGTCATTTGATGGATGAGTGATGTGAATTATTCTACCACCATTTTGCTAGGAAAATCCATTTGCTCCAAGTCAATGACTTATCACAGTAGAAGCATCTCAAGTAGTTTTCTAAGCACTGATTAACTCTTTCTGTTTGCCCATTAGTTTGGGGATGATAAGTGGTGCTAAGCTTGATTTGAACTCCCAAAATCTTCAACAAAGCTGGCCAAAAATGGCTAGTAAAATTATGTCCCTTTCAGTTATAATATCTTCTGGTAGACCATGAACTTTGAAGATTTCATTCAGGAAAACCTCACCAACTTTCAAAGCTGTAATGGGTGATTCCAAATGAATGAAGTGGCCAAACTTAGTGAGTCTTTCCACTACTACAAGGATAAGTGTCAAACTTTTCAGAAGGAGGAAGCTTCACAATGAACTCCATAGAAATGCATTTCCAAGAATGCTGGGGAACTGGATTGGGGTGAAGTAATCCTGGATAAGGGACGTGTTCAGCTTTGTTTCTCTGACAAGAAACACATTTAGTGATGAATTTCTCCACATCAGCTCTCATTCCTGGCCAGAAAAAGATTGTCCTCAATCTCTGCAACGTGAAATTTTGACCAGAATGTCCACCAAGAGGAGATGAATGCAAAACTGTCAGTATTGACAATTTAAGTTCCTGATAATTCCCAATATACACTCTACAATTCTTTCTTAAGATGCCATTGACATACTAATGTTCAGGATAAGCAGCAAGATCTATAGTGATACCAGCTATAAGCTCAAGATCTGTGGAATCTGCCTGATAACTAGCCACTACATCTTGAATCCACCTGGGTTGTACTGGTAATGGCCAAACAACTTTTTCCTTCCTTGCCATTTTCCACTGTTTCTACCCTTGAAAGAGCATCAACTGTTTTATTGTCTCTTCCTTTCTTATATTGTATCTCATAATCATACCTGAAAGTTTGGTGAGCCACTTATGCTGGCTGGTGTTGATCACCTTCTGTTCCAACAAGTATTTCAAAGACTGATGACCAGTCTTAATGAAGAACCTGTTTGCCAACAAATAATGTCTCCACTTTGTCACAGCTAAAACCAAAGCCATCAATTCTTTATCATATACAGAGATCCCTTTGTGTTGAGGACTGAAAGCTTTGCTGATAAAAGCTTTTGGTTATCCTACTTGCATTAGCACAATACCCATACCCAAATCACTAGCATCAGTCTCCACAATGAAGGGTTGAGAAAAATAAGGCTTTTTTAGCACTGGTGTAGTAGACATATTTCCTTTAACTTCTGGAAAGATTGTTGAGCTTCATCATTCCAAACACTACTTGGGTGAGCAATGCCTTGTTCCAGTAATTCCTTCACTTGCTTTTCTATTTCAGTTTTGTAAGCATGTGGACATCTGTAAGGCAATATTTTGAAAGGTTATGATCCAGTCTTCAAAATGATCTGATGGTCAATGGCTCTACTGGGTGGTAATGATTTTGGATTATCAAAAACCTCAACAGTACTTATCCAACAACTTGCGGATAGACTCTGGAAGAGGATACTCTACCACAGAAGTTTCACTGTTGTCCATAGCATTGAGCTGCATAGTCATCAATCTGCACCTTTTTTCCTGAGTAAGTACTTGACAGTCTTTGTCCTTTACTAATTGCATACTCTCCAAGTTTTGTTTGCCCTGTAGTATGTACTGTCTCCTATATTTGCTAAGCCTTACATGCATGTCATCAAAATCAAAGGTGATGGGGGCTAAAGTGTCTCATCCAATCTACCCCCAATACCAAATCATAACTCTCTAACCTCATGATTTCAGATCATAGCTAAACTTGTAGTCCTTGATCTTCCAGTGCAAGTTAGGACACATGAGACTGCTAGAAATTTTGCTCCCATTTCCCACCGTTATAGTAAACATATTAGTTTCAGTATATGGCAATTTCATATCTCTGACTAGCAGCAAATCTACAAAACTATCAGTACAGCCAGTATCAATAAGGATTTTGATGATCCTTCCTTCAATCTTCCCCAACAATAAGATAGTTTGCTTAACACTGTCCACATATAACACATGCATTGATTATTCTTCAACGATCAGGTCATTAAGATCTATTAATTCCATCAGTTATAGTTAATTCAGGTGCATCAATTTCAGACTTATCCAGTTCTTCCTCATCTTTATTCACAATCATAATGTTGAACTATCTGTACTTACATACATGTCCAGGACCAAACTTCTCACCACTCTTAAAGCACAAATGATTATTTGCTCTATATTGGTATTCCTCATTGGTAAACCTCTTCACAAAATTCGAATTAATGGCCTTATTGTTCCTGTTAACATGCCTTAAATTTTCATTAACCCTACTAGAAGAGGAATAAGGTCTATTCACCTGAGAAGGCAAAGGCCTTTGCTTATTTGTAGCGATCTCCAATTGCTTTTCTTGCAGACTGCAATCTTGAATGCAGAAATCAAAGACAAAAGGTTCCATCATTCTGACACCACGCTGTAATTCTTACTTTAACTCACTGATAAAGCTGTGAATGAAATAATCCTCAGATAATCTTGGATCTTGAATCAAAGAGCCTCAAATTTTACCTGATAATCATGAATGTTCCCCTTCTGTGATAACTTGTTAAATTCCTCCACTGGTTGATTTCCCTAATATCCACAAAGCGTTTCAACAAATCTTTACAAAATTTGCACCAAGAAATATGTGGCTTGATCATCTTAACTGCCTGAAAACCATGTATCAGCTTCCTCATCAAGATACAGTTCCACCGCATCAACCTTTTATTCTTCAACAATTTGCTGTATCAAAAGAAAACTTTTCACATATCCGAATCCACTCACGTGGTTTCAGACCTGTGAACATCGGCAACTCGATTCTTGGAAGTGCACAATGAGGAATTTTGATAACCACCGTCTTTTCCCTTACTCCGGTGAGGTCAGCCGACGACTGCTCCATCGTAATAACTTCCGGAGCATGTTCTTGATGCTTATTGGTGGCTGGTGTCACTACATCGTTGGGTCCAGTTCCCAATACACTACCCTTTGGATTTGTTGATGTAGACGGCTCCGATTGAGGTGGATTCTTGGAAATCAGAGCCTCCAATTTGCCTATCAAAGTTGCGGACAAAGCTTCAAACTGAGTGTTCATCTGTTTTCCAAAATCTGAAAACTTGATCTGCATTTCCGTCACTTAAATCCATAATTCCTCATTTTGTAAGCGTAGATCTTCTAGTTCATTCTGGGTTTTAGTTTGAGTCATCTTTTCCGTTTTCTCAAAGCCGAGGGATTCCCCTGCTCTGATACCAACGTGTCAGATATGGATAAAAAAGGAAAATAAAAAGATAATTGTCGGCAGCCGGAATGTAAAGATCGGCGTCAGAGATGGCAGATTTCAGAGGATTGAAGATTAAGAAGGAGAAGAAAGAGAGGGAAGAGTCTAGAAGGTTAGGAAAAAGGGAAAGTTTACTGAAGAAGAAATGTGATATTTCATTTCTGATATCTATTACAAATGATTGCCGTATTTATTACGCTAATGATGGCTGTATTAACAAAGGTAAAACTAACAATTACTGCTCAATGATTACAACGTATCCTTTTTGGAAAACGTGCCTTTCAACCGCCTTCAAACTAACCCCTCTATTTCACAAAATTTCAATTTAATCCCTGAATATGACATTTATATGAATAGATGGTTACCTATTCGGGTTTAAGTACGATGCACCTTTTACATGAAATTAGTTAATAAGGATCCGCTAGAAAATGTTTGATGTTTTCTGTAATAATCATTGGACAAATCTTTAGTAACGGTAATAAATATTGACCCCTATCATCATACATGTTAGAATTTGATTATACTAGTACAATTATAGAAATTATAACACAAAAAGTGTAATACACTAAACAAATCACGCGAAGGACTGAGTAGTCTACAAAGGTGAATCGCAGTAAAAATTAAAAAATGTTGGTGGTGGTTTGTACTTTGCTAAATTGAAATGGGGGGATATTTTTTTTTTTAATAATTTTTTTTACCAAAAGTAACGAATAACCCAACTCCCACAACCCTAGTCCCCTCAAAGTCCACCTCACCTTTCTTCACTCTCTCCTTTTTTTTCCCTTAGCAGTCTTTTTCTCTCTTTCTTCTTCAGCAGTCAGTTCAGTTCAGCACCACAACAGTATTACATCAGTCTTTCTTTCTTTCTTTCTCTCCCGCTTAAAACCCTCGCTTTTGTCCTCCCGCCCCACGGAAACGTCGTCGCTTTCTTCACTCTCTGCGCACGTACTCCATTCCGTAGTTCGTCCTTTCTTTTTGATTCTCTGAATTGGAGGAATTTGGAGCTGATTTTGTTTTGTCTGGTTTGAGTTTATTTCTTCTTTCTTCTTTTTCTGATTGGAATGACCATGGTTGATAATGAGGGAAACGTGGATGATCAGAAGGAGGTTGCTGATGGTGGGACCACACTCAAGTCTCCATGGAAGACGACGCCTGCTGCGGCGGCAGCCAAGGTAGATGGCATTGATTCTGCTGCTGCTTCCGACTCTGATTCCTGGCCGGCGCTTTCTGATGCTCAACAGCATCGCCAGAAGAGTGTTTCTGTTGATTCTCGCACTTCTGATTCTCCGACGGTTGGAACTCAGGCTGCTGCTGCTGCTGCAGGGGAAGCGGGAGCTGACGGAACTCCGCCTCTTTCGCCTGTTACGACGGTCGGTTTAATTTGTTTCTTAGCCTGGTTTCTTGGTAGAATAGACTTTTGTGTTAGAATTGTTATGGCGGTAACATAGTTAATTGTGTTTATGTAATTATCAGTAGTAAACAAAAAGAATAGAAATGTGGTATAGTGTTTTGATCAGAATCGAAATTTAGTTTCTGAAGATTAAAAACTCCTGGAAGATGTTGCTGTACCTTGTATCTCGTGACACCCAATTGCAGTACCTTGTAAACTTTTTAAATTAGTGAAGGGAATCTTTACAATGTATTGTAATGCAGCGTTTGAACGTTAAACTTAGGCAATCCTGCTGGGAACACGGAATGTGACACCAATGTTTGGTTTGATGAAATATAATATTGTTGACCTGGATTTTATTACCCTGCTTACATGATTGATTACCTGCTCAAAGATGTAGCTGAATCTTAAAAACTGGATTGTAGAATCATTTTGATAAGCAATAGTCATCAAGCATCAATATGGCTTTGTCTAGTGGAATGCTAATTCATATATGTATTCTGATGTTTTGTTGCGGCTGTGTTGTCTCTGTTTACAATTTTGATTTGGATTTGTAGACGTACTTTGTTTTTACATGTTTACATGGTGTGATAGGGACCAGCTGAACAGCAGAAGACCAATGGTCATAATAACTTTAGGGCTTCGCATAAACCGTCTGGGATGCGCCAGTCAAAGATGAGCCCGAAGCAGTACTCAAATGGTGTACCCCACTTTGCTGTACCTTTGCCTTTTCCTCAACCAGGAATGCCTCCAATGTTTCATACCATGGTGCCAGCACCACCCATTCCTGTTCATGGATATTTTTACCAGCCTCCCCCTGGGCCTTTCCCAACCGTTGAAAGTCATATGATGAAGACTGGATATGATATCCCGGTGCAAGCTTTCACTCCTGATGGTAGTTTGCGTCCTCCATTACGCGCTCATTCAGCTGCACATGATGCCAATGCTTTGAGAAATGGATCTGAGTCTCAAGAACCAAATTCGCCGGCCAAATCTCCTCGACCAAGTCAGCAAGCACCTGGTTCCAAAGAAAATGTTCATATGCAACAACCTATGGGACCAAGGCCTTTCATGGGACCTCCATTCTTTCCAGCTCCAGGATTCATTGATGGACCAAACGTTCCTGGTAGGTTCTTTAGAATCCAAGCTTTGAAAAAACTAGTACAGTATTTCTCTTCTGATCCTTGGTAGTGCATATGGCTTGAGTTCCTTTTCTGGGTCCCTTTGTTTGTAATTTTCATTTTTTTTACCTTGGATATTTACATATATTTAAGTGGTCTGTCCTTGTACTTTGGGTGTTCAGGTCCTCCAGGAGCAATTTATTTTGTACCTTTTGCTCCTCCAGGCTCTATAAGATTGCCTTATCGACCCTTCTTCGCTCCACATCCTTCAAACTCTGCATCTCCAACTGTTAACTCATCTTTGAGGGCAAACATTGTAAAGCAAATTGAGTATTACTTCAGGTGAATTTCAAAGAATTCTATTTTCGTTTCTTGATCTGATTTAGTTAAAGTTGCTATCCCTCTGATTGTTTCGTCCATGGATATGTATGTATCAAGTATTTGTTGTTTTCTTTTGGGTGTGTGTGTGTGTGTGTGTGTGTAAGCTGATGAAAGTTCGTTAGTTTAGGGTTCTACCGCCCTTATAATGCATTCTTTGCTTATGTTCTCTGATCATTCTGACTATCGTTATGAGTGATTTCCATGACCACTTGAATGTTAAATGCTGTTCTTCTTTCCTCTGACAGTGATGAGAATTTGAAAAACGATCACTATTTGCTTTCGTTGATGGAAGACCAAGGATGGGTCCCGATTTCGAAAATTGCTGACTTCAAAAGGGTATGTTTCGTAGGATTCTTTGCATATCAAAGTGGCAAAACTTTGCTTTTCTGAATGCTAAGAGTAACCCTGTTATATCTCGATTTTTCAGGTGAAAAGGATGAGTACAGACATACAATTCATCTTGGATGCATTGCAGGATTCAAGTACGGTAGAGGTCCAGGTAACATATAGTTGCTTTTCTTATTTCTCTCTATCTCCCTTCCCAGGATATGATTAAATTTCTTGTAATTTGATTCGAATTCTATAATTCATTGCTGTAATCTTCCACCAGGGTGACAAGGTTAGAAGAAGAGATGAATGGCCGAAGTGGATTAGTCAGAACCAATCTCCCATTTCACAGTCTGCTTCCAATTGTTTGAACAGTGCAGACACTGGCCTGGATACTGATAGTGAGGTGAATTATAACAAGGACAGCTTTGATGGGACGAAACAAATACCAAAAAGTAATGAGATTGTGTTAGATATCACTAGTCAAAGCAAAGATGCCCTGAATGGGTCACCTAATGCTAATTTAGAGAGGAGTCACAATTTGTCATCTGATAAAGGAAATAACGCATTTAGTATTGAGGGTTGTCAGAAAGATTTAGTAGCCTCTTCACAAAGAACCGAGTCAACAGAATACAAAGGTCATGTAACTAAATGCTTCCAGTCATCTTCAGATTTAGCTTCACAGAATTTGGAGGGCTTATCTAGTGATTTCACAAACACATTTATGCTAGATGAAGAGCTTGAACATGACCACAAGACAGTTACTGCAGATGCATCTACTTCACAAAGGTATTTCATGGTTTCTCGGACGCTTAATTGACCTGTAATAACTTGTCTTCTGAGCCTGTTGGTGTTTATTGCGTGTTCTTGGTTAGCGTAGATTTTGATTTACGACATTTGATAGTCACTCATTATTGGAAGGACATGCATAATTAATCTGACATGGAACTCATTTCATGTGCTGTGGTATCAAACTTGATATCCCATTTCTGTTTTGGAGTAGTAGATCTTGTTGAAACAATTCATTATACGGGCCATCAAAGAATTCTTATAAGAGTGGTTCTGGGCAAAAATAGGCGTGAAACTGGTACCCTTACTTGGTTTCTGAGAATTCTACTTTTCTCTTCATACAAGTCTCTGCTGTGCAAGGAGAGTGGCATTGTTTTGTTGGAGCGGAAAGTGAGATCTGGAATCCATTATAGTTAGAGCGCCTGCTCAAAAATGTCTTCTGTAAATTATAGTCTTCACATTGTTGATCCTTACTCATTTGATAACTCTCAAGTCTTGTGAGGTAATAACAGGTTGTAAAAAATACAGATCGTCTTCTGGAAACCTATGACTTATGTTGGGCAATGCCTCTTGGGTGGATGATATTAGGTTCTATATTAGTGTTCTGATGTTTTCCAAATTCTAAGTTGCATGTGTTTCTTCTTTAATTAAATTCTTATTTTTATTGTATTCCAAAGGGAAGTTGTCAGAAAAAAAGGAGAATTAAAAGAGAGAAATTGAGGAAAATAAAGTTCCAAAAAGATTTAAAAGTACTTGCTGAAGTACAGCAAACCTGTCGTAACACCAATTATTTTTCACTAAAATCATGTAACTTGAAATGAACCCCTGACCGTATTTATGTATAATAATAATTGAACATGTTTTGTCGATTTAAAGAATTTAGCTATGTTGCTCTTTCTGGAACGCAGGTTTGCGGTTGTAGTATCCATTATTATTGTTACGTTTTTTTCATGGTAATTGATTCGCCTTTAAATGCAGGGTTGATGATGACGATGATGAAATGGTTGGAAGTGATCAAGCTGTTGATAGACTTGTAATTGTCACTCAGGTAAAACGTGGCTTGAAATTTACCTTTCTTAACTTGTTTTATTGCAAGATAAACAATGAAGAGGAAAGTAAAGTTGGATATTTATAAACAGGGGTGGGCAAAGGGTTTATCTTTTTCTGTCTTTCCGTCTTGTGATATGTCTACAGTTTTCTTTTAATACCTTGGGATTTTAGATTTTGTTACTGCTCTCCATTCTGCCTTATACTTTTTCTTACATGTTCAGTTCATTTTATACTGAAGTTTGTTGATATGTGCAGAATCCACGAAATGTTAATGATTCTGGAACTAGGCTAAAAGGACCAAGTTCCCTCTCATCTGAGCTTGCCTCTGCTATAAATGATGGCCTCTATTTCTATGAGCAGGTTAGTAGAAAAACTACGGGATTACTTTATCCTTATTAGGCACTATTTGATTCACCTGAAACATTGCAATTTTAGGAACTGAAAGCCAGGCATTCCGGTCGTAGAAACGTAAACTCCCGTCATGAAAACAATGAGAGTTCCAAATCTCCTCATGCTGTTTCCTCTATGTCAAAGTCAAGGGCTGGAACTCATTCTTTTGGAGGGAGTACCTTTGAAGGTACTGGAAGTTCTAATTCCCGGAAGAAGCCAAACAAAGGATTTCATAGGCAATCCTCTAATTCTAAACAACGTCTCTTTCCTTGCACCTTAAAAAATCATGGAACTGTGCGGAACTCAATTGGCATCATATCTGAAAGTCCTCCAAGCGAGTCTGTTGGATTCTTTTTTGGTTCTACACCTCCTGAAAATCCAGGGTGAGTCCTGCATTTTGTCATTGGAAGCTTTAATTGTCAATGATTCTTGGAAAAAATCTGCCATTTGTATTTATTTCTTTCTGAAACTAAGAATTTGTAGTGTGAGGTCCTCGAAGTTGAGTGCATCTCCACGCAGAAACTTATCTGTTGGCAGTCCACCGGTAGGTTCAGCACCAAAGTCATTCCCATCTTTCCAGCATCCAAGTCATAAACTCTTGGAAGAAAATGGCTTCAAACAGCAGCTGTAAGAACCATTTCAGAACATGGCTTTACTGTGAATACAAGCCTGCTAAGGTTCTCATTTGGCATTTTATGTATCTTGACACAATGCAGGTACAAAAAGTATCATAAGCGCTGCCTTGCAGATCGGAAGAAACTTGGTATCGGTTGCAGTGAGGTGCAAAAGCTTTTATTTTTTGATGAGTTGTTTGGATTCTTATATCATGGTTATTTTTTCTGAACATCCATGGATTAGAATTGTTCCCTGTCCTGTGCTGCAAAATATAAAGATCTCTTTTTGTTCCTGTCTCTGTTTCTAATAGGATTATTGTTTACAGCTTCTATCCTTGTAATTTTGCACCATTTCTTTTGTGTTTTTCCCCGCTTTATTCAGCATTATTTCTCATGGCATTACTTCCGTATATATGTAATGTGGATAAAGGAGGGTAGAAGAATGCTATCACTAGGTTCCTATACTTACACCCAAGATCATCATGATTTAAGGAAGAAACCAAACTGTTAGAACTTTGGTTAAGTTAATCCACTATTAAGAAGAAATTAGTTTGCTATCCTCAATAATAATATTTAGGAAAGGGTATTTAGTATTTTAGTTTTGGAAATTAAGTGTGAATCCTAGTTGTCTTTGTTTTAGGTTAAGTTTTAGGTCTATAAATAAGATGTACTCCTTCCAGGAGATGGGGAGCCTGTGTTAATAAAATTTCTTGCGGAGAATCTTTGCTTTTGCAATTGTGTGATACAATGAACCCCTAAGACTGATTCTTTGGTTTTCTTCCTGTTTCCTACTGTTTTATCTCTGTTTCCCTGTGATTCCTAAGCTGTTCTCCATCAGATTCTTCTAGTTTTTCCACTGCATGCTACCGTTTAATCAGCCTACAGTCTGATTTTCCGAACCACCACGTTTTGTCCTGCGTCTATATATATATATATATAAAAGTTTGTGAGGGAGGAATAGTCCTTGTGTGAATGTTTGCAAGTTAAATAATCACCAGTCTTTGCTCATCTATATGAACTATTTATTTTCCCTTCTATATGAACTTTTTTTTGAAGTGTTATTGTCTGTTAACTTTTAAGGATGGATATACATACTGAAGTAAGGAGCTAGGAAAATAAAAACTAATGGCAGCATGTTTTTGTATTCCACACTATGATTAAAACAAGATTGTGTTGATGTGACAAATGTGTACAGATCTGAACTCCAAGATGAGAATCTGTCCCTTTTGTAAACTATTTTGTATGAATATAATTTTGAAATGTTTTCTGTTCCTAAGAAGTTTTTTTGATTAAGGGTGATCATGTTTGAATCCAAGACTATCAGTATATGTGAACGTGAATGGTTGACCTTGTATGGACTCGACCAATGTGATTTTTAGGATATCTGAAGTGATTTTAACAGGCATACTTCGTTGTGATGTGGGAAAAATTCTGCCTGGATTATTTCAGGACCTCCCTGTGAAGCTGAATCTTTGATTGAGGTCTTTGAGGCTGATGTTGCATAGTGTGACCTTCTCTTTCTTGATTATCATAATTGCCAAAAGAGACTAGATGCAACAATGAGATTATTGGAAAGTTATTGTGCTTTGCATGAGGTTGGGGGTATGTTATGTATACGCCTCTATGCTAATGATTCCAACGTGTGGATTTCAGTGACCCCAACTAATGAAATTACATAAGAACAGAGAAGCCTTTCTTTTATACATTAAGATGGTCAAGCTGAATGTTTATTTCTTCTTGACTGAGCCCCCAACTTTACTCTTTTGTCCTTTTGTGAATTCGCACTAGTTTGTTGGGTAAATCTTAAATCTGGTGTGATGATTGGCGAGAATGGAATAATTTTTTTAGGTGTGGCAGGGGTTTAGAATTTGTTTCAATGTGTTATTGTCTTGCATCTACCCATTTCATACTGTAAATCACCTAAATCTAAACATCCATCTGTTCACTTTCTGAATGTTCTTCTGTGTTCAATGCACCTTCTATGATTTTGTTTAGTTTAAATAAGATGTTGCAGTTGTTGCTTGCATTTTCTGTAGAATGGCTTTTTTTTCCACTAAGTGGACTTCCCCTCTAAATCTATGCAGGAAATGAATACACTTTACAGGTTTTGGTCATATTTTCTTAGAAACATTTTCGTGGAGTCCATGTATAATGAGTTTCGGAAATTGTCAGAAGAGGATGCTGCCGCAAATTATAATTATGGAATGGAGTGCCTATTCCGGTTTTACAGGTATAATTTGAAACTACTTGAAAGCAGGTTGGTTTTGTAGTTGTCTCTGTGCTACGAAAGGAATATAATTACTAGAAAGAACCGTAGAAGCCTCTAGGGTTTTGGGAAAACAGGGATTTATGTTTTAATTTCATGATAATAAATAACCCCAGAAGAACTGCTGAAATGTTTGTTATATCGTCCTCCAACAAGGGAATTTTCACATCGTACGTTTCCTGTGATTAGAACAACTCGACTATAGTTATTGCTACCTGAAGATGTTGAGGAGCTGGAAAAAAAAGAACTCAAAACTTCGCTTCAAACAAAGTTTCCCTCTGATGTCCAGTGTCCAGTGTCTTGTGTATCTTTCTTGCATCAAATCTCCCTATTTTTAAAGGAAACTCCGCTCTTCCGCATTAGACCGATTTTGATGTTAGGCAGGCTTTTATGCGGGTCTTCTCTAACCTTATCTTCTTCCTTGTTTGCATTATGAAATTTTTCCCTTTTTTATGAAAGCTAGAGATGTTTGTTGTGAGAAGCGGCATAATATGATTGTTTTCCTTAGATGCAGCAAGCATATCATGATCGTATAACCAAGGTGACCCAAGGATAAGTTACATGCATAATGACTGTCATATAACCTTAGGTGGACCTGGAAATATATGGCATGTATCAACCAACTTAATCTGTTAAATTATTCTCCTTGGAGTTCACAAAACATCCCAGTTGATAGGTGTGTCATATTGATGAGGATGCTTCACTGTGGATAACTTTAACTTGTCCAATTTTGTTGAAAAAAAAATTTCTCTTAGTTCCCCACCATCATCTATCAAGTTATAGAACTTGGGATCACATGCCATCCGTGTTTGAAAAATGTCATTTTGTCTTCATTCTTCAATTTTCTCAACATTTCAAGTCTACCACACTCGATGGATGATTAGGCTTTCACTTTGCATTGGAAGTATGGCAACTATTTTCTCCTCATCATATCCATTGTAGATAGGATGATCTGTGTGTTCATTGCTATTTAGTTGTAACTGCCTCAAGCCCTTAAGGTCGCTTACTCCTAACATTGAACTAGGCATGCCTGGTTCTGGGCTAGAGAAACAAGGGGAAGTTTTCCTCTGAAGGTGGATATTATTACTTTTTTTTTTTGGGGTGGGGGGTAAAATTAAGGGGTTATTCCTATCATCGTGAGTAACGCCAGGAAAGTTGTAGAGGTTTTTTATAATGGAGATATCTACCTAAGTGACTACCAAACCTTATTATTTCTGCTCTTATATTTGTCTTCCATCCTTTTGTTTCTCAGTGTGTTTGATATGACATTCACTGGATCTCTTTTTTGCCCCATTTTTGGTGGTTGATAATGTTTAGTTATGGCTTGGAGAAGGAATTCCGAGAGAATCTTTATGAGGACTTTGAAAAACTTACTCTTGACTTCTACAATAAAGGGAATCTCTATGGGCTGGAGAAGTATTGGTAAGCTCTCAGTACTCGGCTGAATTTGTTTCTAATCATTTGCATCCCTGAAACTGGAAAAAAAGAGTAAGATACTGGAAAATAAGCTGGCTTTGAAATGCCCATCTAAGTGGGCTGGAGAAGGGAATCATACCCTTAAATGTCTGCAATAAAGGAAATCTCTATGGGCTGCAGAAGTATTCAAAGCTCTTACTGCTGTGGCTTTGAACTCTGTCATTCCACTTGTGCGCATTATATATTTGTTATCTTTTTGACATTCCACTTGTGGGTATGTTTGTTTGTTTTTTTAGTGTGTGTTTTTAGGTGTTTTTTGTATTGAGAATGTAAAAATGTGTATTGGAAATGTAAAAAGAGTTATGAACTTTATTACTCTTTCCGTCCCACAAAAATAGTCCACATTGAGTTTTGAATTTTATATTATTTTTAGTACAAATTTGAAAACTCAATGTGGACTATTTTCTTAGGACGGAGGTAGTAGTATCCAAGTGGCCATACCTGAAATAGGCTAACTTGGTTTCGGTTTGACAGGGCATTTCACCATTACCGTGAAGCTCAAGGACATAAGGAGCCTTTAAAAAAGCACGCGGAATTGGATAGATTGCTCAGGGAAAGATTCCGTAGTTTGGATGATTTCAGACGTGGGAAAGGAAAATCTGCAACGGTGGAGGATAGCTAAAGTCATATATCAATGACGGGTTTTGTTAGAATCAGAATGTATATAAATCCTTTTTGCTGATTTTGTCTTTTTTTGCCTGTGGCCATTTTGAGGCCTTACTGTAAAAAAACTAATAGCGGAATGTGAAAAAAAAAAAGAAAAGATAAAAAGAAGTCAGTCAAGTAGGTGGTGTGATTGCAACATAACTTCACCCTTGAGAAAGAGAAATGAAAATGAAACGGGAACTGTGTTTTGGAGAATTTCCTTTCCCATATTCTTTTTAGTTTGACGTATGCGTATTGAAATTCATTACATTTTCGCGTATGAGCTTGCTTTGGTCTAGGTTTACTTCATTCAGCCTCAGGTGCTACAGCTTGCAAATGGCTATGACCATGGCCAATGCAAGTAAAATACTAAAATCAACTGGCAAATTACTGAAAATGTAAAATGCCCCTTGATTTGTTGTGCCTAGTTGTAATACCTGAGCTGAAAAGGAAACCTAAACCTGGTCGACAAGAAAATGAATATTGCAGCATGTTGAGCCTGGAATTCACTAGACAAATATTTTGACCCCCCAAAAAACACGATGATTTGTATTAACTTAAAGCTATCGCAATAAAAAATAAACCAGTGGCACTAGCACATCTGTGTATTTTACCCAGGGAAGAGACGGTAGAGGGTGGCTTATTGAGTTTATTGTGGAGGGATTGCGGGAAATGTCAATGAAAATGCTGGTACTTTTTATCGTACGGTTGTACTGATTTGTGTTCCAATTGTACTGCGGTATTAGTTGTACAACTGTACTGATGTATGATGTATCGGATCTCCAATTCATGGGGTCGGAGCATTATTATTATTAATTTTTTTTTGTGAAAAATGTAAATTATGTATATTCATATGCCACAAAGTGAGCCAGTTCAGTACAACTTCCGGTAATCTACTCCTACCAAAATTGCAGAGGTGTGCAGCCACCTCAAAAGCCCAAAAGGCCTACTATCACACAATCTTTCCAATTAAAACAAGCATACAAAACTAGTGCATCAGGAAACCATAAGCATACTAATCTAAGGAAAAAATTGTTGCAAAATCCATGCTGCATCCTGCGTAGTCCTTCCTCTGTACCAACTCATAAACCTGAATTTCGGTTCCATTTGTAATAGCATCATCATTTCCTCTGTTTTGTGTTTCTTACCGGTAGAAGACCTTCTGTTCCGCTCCTCCCACAAATGGTAGATACACCCCATGACAGCAGTCCATAGCACTCTCCGTTTTTTCTTGCAAACTTTCCATATATGCTGTAGCTGCACTTTCCATACATGTGGAACTACAGATATTCTTCGACAGCCTAGCCACTGCACCACTTGACACAGCAGATCCTGAGCATAGCAACACTGAAAGAATAGATGATCTCCTGTCTCCATTTGGTTCTGACACAGCACACAGTTTTGATCAAGAACCATCAATTGCATTTTGATCAATCGATCTTTAGTCAGCAACCTGTTCTTATGTGCCAGTCATGAGATAAACCTGTGTTTGGGGATGTTTAACCTCGCCCAAATATATGTAGCTTCTTGATATTTAGTCCCACAACCCTGAACTGACGGTGTATTTTCCAGAATTGGTAGCCTTCCAAATGCAGCCATCAAAACCTTTCTTCACTTGATCCCTAATCTTTAGCAATTGCTTCCACTGCCAACTTGCATCAGTCTTGATCTCTACATCCCAAAAGCTACTAGATTTCATATATACTTCATGTATCCACTTGATCCTCAGAGATTCTTTCTGTAGAGCCAGGTGCCAGATTTGTTTCACAACTGCTGCTTGATTCCACTCCTTGGCATCTCTGACCCCCAGCCCTCAATCTTTTTTCGACAAACCTCTTCCCATCTTACCAGGGCCAAAGCTTTTCCACCACCTCTAACAGCCCACAAAAACTCTCTGCATACTCGATTAACCATAGTAGTGACACTCTGAGGCAAAATAAACATCGTTCCCCAGTAAGTATGCATCGACATCAATACAGAATTCACAAGACATAACCTTCCGGCATAAGACAGATGACGGGTGCTCCAACACTTGATTCAGGCCACCATTTTGTTGACAATCTCCCGACACTCGAGTTGTGACCATTTCTTTGGTGACAAAGAAATGCCCAAATACCTCATGGGGAAGGTGCCAGTTTGAAAATGAGTTAACCTGGCAATGTCTTCTTGAAGCTTCTGTACAACTCCACCATAATAAACCGAAGACTTTCGTGAGTTCGCCACAAATCCTATTGTTCTTGAAAAACCTTTAAGCACTTCCATGATCATCCTAACAGTGCCTAAATCTGCTTTACAGAATAAGAGGAGATCATTTGCGAAGCAGATATTAGTCAACCTAAGCTCCTTACATAAAGGGTGAAACCAGAACTTAGAATCTGCAATTCTTTTCAGCCCTCTTGTAAGGTATTCCATGACTAAGACGAACAACAGGGGAGATACAGGGTCTCCTTGTTGAAGTCCACGTTTCCCAGGAAAGAAACCAGTAGGGTTCCCACTGATCGTCAACGAGTACCATGGTGTGGAAAGACATGCCATAATCCAAGTCCTGAACATCTCTGGAAACCGAAATCCTACAAGCATTTCCTCTATAAACCCCCATTCTATCTAGTTGCAAGCCTTTTTCAAGTCAATTTTCATAGTAACTCTCCCACTAATCCCTTTACGCCTATACAATCTAATTAATTTCCGAGTAATCAGAATGTTATGCATTATCAACCTATCTTTTACAAATGCATTCTAATTCTCATCAATCAAAACAGGCAATATATTTTTCATTCTATTACATCGAATTTTTGAGATATATTTATAAATGACGTTACAACAGGATATAGGCCTAAAATGACTTGCATTTAAAGGTACATCAATTTTAGGGATCAAAGTAATTATCGTAGAGTTTAATTGTCTGAGTACCTGGCCAGAGTTAAAGAACTCCAATACTGCTACTGTAAGATCATCTCCCACCATGTTCCAAGCTGCCTTAAAGAAGCCTGCTCCATAACCATCCGGCCCTGGGCTCTTATTGATGTCGATCTCCCAAATTGCAGCTTTAACTTCAGCCTTCGACACTACTTTGATAAGATTCAACTGCTGCTCAAAGTTTAGTTTTGGCCCGGATGCGAAAACTGCTGGATCAGAAGGTTCCCTGTGAGTGGATTACCCCAGCAGGTGCATATAATAGTTCAAAAAGTGCTGCTCTATCTCCACTTGTTCTTTCAATTCGTTCCCAGCCTCATCCATAATTGCTCAAATTCTATTTTTGATCCTCCTAATTTTCAGTAGTGAGTGGAAATAACGTGTATTATCATCTCATTCTGCTATCCATTTTTCCTTAGACTTTTGCTGTAGGAAACTGTCAGCAGCCTTTCTAGACTCTATATATTGTTTATAAGCCTCTCTCCTGCAATTGTATTTGCACATTGTTTGGATCCCCATTGACCTGTTCCTATAACAGTTTCAGGTTATCTCGTCCTTTTGAGCCCTTTCCACTATATCTGTAAACACTTCAGAGTTCAGCTGCTTCAAAGGGTACTTGAGCCGTTTTAATTTTTTACAAATCTGAAACATTCTTGTCCCATCCACTGGTTGATCCCAACTCCTCTGTACTATAACTCTAAACTGATCTGTCAAGCTCCAGATATTAAAAAACTTGAATGGTGTTGCCTTCTTTTGAATCTTGTTTTCAATTTGGACTGCTAGAGGAGTATGATCTGGTATTCCTTCCATTTGCACAGAAACCAAAGAGTCAGGAAATGTATCTACCCACTCCCCATTAACAAGAGCTCTATCAACCTTAGCGTATACTCTTTCTTCCCCTACCCGATTATTGCACCAAGGGTAAAGCTTACCAGTTTGTCTGAGGTCCTGTATGCCACATTCCTCCAAACAAAACTGAAATGCTTCAACATCTTGTAATGTTACCCTCCTTCCTCCTAACTTCTCCTCCGGCTTTAAGATGTTATTAAAATCCCCAAGCAATAACCAGGGGTCATGTATATTTTAGCAAGTACAGTCAAATCATACCACAGCTTAGCTCTATTCTCTGGTTCATTAGCAGCATAAACACCAGTAAATAAGAACATGCTATTATCTGATTTACGTACACACTTATAACGTATCAGCTGATCACTCTGCATCACCTCCTGCAATTCCACTGTATCATTCCACCAAATCATTATCCTACCCCTATCCTGACTTTCATAGTTATGTAACCACTTCCATCCATTCCAGCATTGCTTCACATACTCTTCCCCTCTCTGTTTACTTAGTTTCGTCTCTACTAAACAAACTATATCTACTTTTAAAGTTTTAATCAGCCTCTGAACCTACTTTTGTTTCAGGGGTGAGTTCAAATCCGTTATATTCCAGGAGATGACACTACTCATGCGGATCATGATCAGTGTCCTTTCGCCTTCTATCCTTATCCCGTTCGTTTCCTTTATCAATCCGCCCAAGCAAACTGCTACCAATTCCATTAATGAGAATTGGATCTTCAGTAGCCTTTGATGAATGAATCGTTGTAAAAGTACCTTATCAATGCCAAGCTTGCCCCAAATCTTCCTGAAATGGGCCTCCATGACCCAAAGAGGTGGATGCGCATCCAATACATTGCACACAACCGAAGATTCCCAATATGCTGCTTCTGTCTGCACATCCTCAACCTGCATTTGCCCTATTTTTTGACCATCAACCACCTTGGGTTGAAAGAATGGCAGCTTCCCAGATGGCTGTTCAGGCTGGTCTGACTCAGACGCCGCCGTTTTCTCAGACCAATTTAATTGTCTTCGAGTCAAAAGAGGCCAAAACCTAGGATTCGCCTCATCCTTCAATTTGCCCGAATCACATCCATCACTGAGCCTGCTACGTTCCTCAATCAATCGATTTGCCGGCGTTTTACTCTTATCTCCGCCTGTGGATCTAGCAGAGCCTTCAATTGCAGCGACTAATCGATCCACTTCATCATCCTTCTCCCCCTCTGATGACCTCAGTTTTCCAGAACTCTTTGAGCCATCCCCAATCTCAAAAACATGCTTTGTGCTTGAATCAGAAGGTTTTAATTCACTTGGACTTCCTAAATGTGGAGTTCTGCCTTTCTCCTTCTTGCCGGCCATGGCAGGCGCACAGTAGGAATGGTGCGCCGAGAGCGAAGAAAGAGAGAGAGCTTCTTATTAAAATTGAATATGCAACAAAATTACTAATTAATACATGAAATATTTTCGGAGCTTTACTTTTTACCTTCAAGTATATGTTAATTTTAAATTATTAAGTATCACATTTAAATTAATTTAAATTTGAATTTAGAGAATTTGTTTCGAATGATCTAAGTTTCTTAACGAGTACTTCAATTT